GATCTGTGCCTTTGTGCATACGGACATCTGACTGCTAAGAAGTGATTGTGTTTTTCAGCAATAGTGCTGTGCACCCTTCATTTACAGAGAAAAGAAGGTCAGGGAAAAATCTGTAGATGGAAAAATCTCAATAATTTTTTTGTGTATTTTTTTTTCTACTGGTTACTTTGCACTTTTTGTTAGAAAATGTTTATTTACTATTTATTCATGTTTTTTAAGGTATCTAATATTTTGATACTTAACTTCCATGATCTAAATATTCTTAAGAATTAAAAGTTTGTTGTCATTTGGAAGTGTGTAGGCCTTCTTGCATTATTATGCTGTTACATTATGATTATATATTCAGTGGCATAAAATGGTCTTTAAAATTATTTCTTTTTATTTCTGGGGTAATATATCGCACAACAAAAAGTTGTTATCGTGACAGGCCTAGTGAAAATACTAGTGTTCTAATAAGTTTGGCCACCACTGTATACAGATAAAGATATATCTCTAAACTGAGATGGCTTTATACCAAAGCAATAACATAGCATTACAATCAAATGATCTGTCTGTGAGTTAATGTTATAACATCAACTGAGCTAGCATAACTTTCAGAATTTTTTATTTTTTTTCAGTGTTGTGTCTCACTTCTTGTAATGACACCTCGGCAACTTTCAGTCGGAAAAGCTGTTTTGCTCACCTCTCCATGAGCTCTCACGCTGCCGGGACAGAGGGGGTTGTGTGGGTCATGTCGCGGGGTGTTGTCCTCTGGAGGTTTCTCCACCTGTCCTTTCCACGGACGCTTCATCCGATGAGCCGAGACCAGAACCCAGGAGTCCCGCAGGGGGTTGTACCTTAGATGCTGGTGCTCTGAAACAAATTCAAGAATAATATGAGATTTGATTTGAAAGGTAACAGGCAGAACTTTGCCACTCAGTATGTTAATTTCTGAGTCACTGAGTCACAAACGAATAATCTTTTGAACGAGTAGATTTCGCAAAGCGCTTGTAAATGAATGAATCTCACAGGACAATTTGACAGTTTAAACAAACATAACTATCATAAAATTCCAAGCAACCTATACTAATTTTAAAGCATTGTGATAAACAATAGCATGTATAAAAATGCATCTAAAATGTATTTTACTTAAAAACGACTCCTAAAATTCCGCGAAGTGTGATGCCTAACTACTAAAATAATGAATAAATAATAAAATATGAAATAATATATATATATATTGAATGTATGTATATATATGTACATGTATATGTACGTGACTCATCTATCAAGTATACTATTTTCAGTGGATTCAAACCACAGGAGCAATAACAGAAAGAGGTCATTACATGGCATCTAGATTTGTTCGTGAATCACGCACAGTTCAAAGCTTAGAACATAAATATGCACAAGTGTCAACATGTAAAAACATTCCTCACCTTTAGGATCAAACGTGGGTTTACTGATACTGTCCATCTTACTGCTTAATAAAATCCCCCGTGGTTACGAAATATATCCAATCACCTGTTTTTAACATGAATTCATTGATTGTTTCTTTCTAGAGTTTCAAGTTTTCATTTGATCTCCCTCCTAAGTATCCTCAAGCGAGCAGTGCTGCGCAAATAAAACGCAGTATTCTAAAGATGAATAAATCAGAATCAGAATGAGCTTTATTGCCAGGTATGTTTACACATACGAGGAATTTGTTTTCGTGACAGAAGCTTCCACAGTGCAACAGAATGACAGTGACAGAACAAAAAAACACAGATAATAAAAAAATAAATAAAATAAAAATAGAACAAGTAAAATAAGGAATAAAAAAATATACAAATCGACAATTGTATGTACAGGTATATAACAATAGACAGTTGTATGTACAGGTATATTATGTGCAAATTGAAATGTAGACTGAGTATGTGTGTTAGATAAATAAGTGTATGAGTGAATAAATAGTGTGTGTTCCACAGTTATTGTCAAGAACAGTGCTGGCACTGTTTACAGGCTCCCCGAGAACAAAAATAATACCACATACGTAAATACATTCATTTATTCGATATGTCTCACTGTACCAATAAAAGCCGCGTTGTGTATGTTGCGTATTTTGGAGGCTTATTGATGATAAAGATGCACCGCCGCGCCGCCTTCTTCCGTGTAGCGCCCTGAGCGATTTCATTGGACTAGAACTCGCCGTTTGTGGCAGCCGATTGGTTGCCACCGGTGTGACGTCACCGCGCGTCATCGCCCGTCACTTTTCATCTGTGCAATGCTGTGTTGTGTGTCTGAATGAAGTCTGTTTAATGTCTTTTGCAATCTACTTTACTTTTAAACAGTCGTGTGTGCCCGGATTACGATGTCTGTAATAAGAACTATTCTAAAAACGGCGCTGGTTCTCGGGTTTCTGGTGTTGACAGTTCAGTTTATAAGATATTGGATGGCAAATAAACAATATGTCTTTACAAAAGAAGATGTTGCCAAGTTAGCCAGACAGTATGCAGGTGAGTAAACACACACAACCTGTTTCTATTCAGAAGTCATATCTGTTGCAGTAATTGCTTTCTATATTCTTATTCTTAATATATATATTGCGAATATACACTTCCTAGCAACACAAAGCTGTATTCAGATGCTCATATTGTCTATCTAAAAGAGTTGTTTAAAGTATATTTTGAGCAAATACCACATCTAATAACATAACTGTCCAGTAATGACTCTTCCTAACTTGTCACTTGTCTGCTAGATGTCTAAACCAAATAAAACTAGATGTCTAAGCTGTGTGTGTGTGTGCCACAGGCCAGGACCACGAGCAAGCCTTCTCTAAGGTGGTGGTGGAGCTGAGGAAGAGGTATCCGGGTCACATCCTGCCCGATGAGGACCTGCAGTGGGTGTTTGTGAATGCGGGCGGCTGGATGGGCTCCATGTGTCTGCTGCACGCCTCTCTCACAGAGTATGTGCTGCTGTTCGGGACGGCCGTGGACACGGGCGGACATTCAGGTGGGTCAAGAACATCTCCAGGGCACGTGTGTCCTCAAAATTAAAAGAAAGAAAGAAAAAATCTGAAATAAAGACTACTATAGGATCATATGACTTTTTGCACTGCAACATTATTTTTTTAATTAAGCACTAAATTCTAATTAACTTGTTGCAGAATAATAATAAATGAAAACAATTGTGTATAGCAATATTATTTAGAATATAAATTTGTATATAATGTTTTAAAGGGGTCATATGACGTTGCTAAAAAGAACATTATTAATACCGTATTGATAATCTAATGGGAATCACTATTAGTAATAATGGGAGTTGCAAAAAAAAAAAAAACATCAATATGAATTACAAAAATAAGCATTTTGAGATAAAATAATGTCACAAAATCTTAATGGGCATAAAATATGGCAAATTTTCTGTATTCCCAATTTTTATTATTTTTTTGGGTGGTGGAGGTGGTGTTTTGCCTTGGCTTCTAACTTAAATAAAATAAGTTGAAGTTGAAATATTATTACTAAAATTACTAGGACTATAAAACTGTGTTTGTAATTCATTTTCTTTCTTTTTTTTATTTTAGTAATTTATTGGCCGGTTAAATTGTATGTGTTATTTGAAATCGATCTATAAAATATTAATATTAGATGAAAAACATATGCTTAAAAATGTAAACGAAAATTAAAAAATGTTGCCTGTGCTGCTGATTGAAAATAAGTATGCGTAACTTAAGTTTAAATAACTAAAAGTTCAACTGAAGTAAAATAAAGGTGCATAGAAATATTAAAATCCAAAAGCTAATTTAAAAAAAATTAAACGTGAACTAAAATTAAAGTGAAAACTAAAAATATATAAATGGCTTATATAAATAATGACTAAATGACTAAAATAATAAATAATGACTACAAATATAAATAAGGCTGTTTCAAAATCTTAACAAAAACTATAATGGTGTATAAATAATACTAAAATAATACTGTTCTAATTTTAATTGTTTGTGACCCTGGACCACAAAACCAGTCATAAGGGTCAGCTTTTTTTACATCAAGCTGAATAAATAAGCTTTCCATTGATGTATGGTTTGTTAATTTCAGATGTCAACACTGGCTACCAGAAATCACTTACCCCACCTTTAAAAAGTGAATAAATATATAAATAACACATACATACATACATTTTCCCCCACATCATATGTGTGCAGCAATGACACCAAATACGGCTGTTTTTCTTGTATTTTCACATTCCTTTCATATTTGCATCTCCTTCAGGTCGTTACTGGGCAGAAATATCAGACACCATCATTTCTGGAACGTTCAGGCAATGGAAAGAAGGAAGCACTAAAAGCGAGACTTACTATCCAGGTACAACCACCACACGTCTCCACCACACACTTGAGTCTAACAGTGGTGTGAAGCCTGTGTTTGTTGTGGCAGGAGACACTATCGTGCATGCGGTGGGAGAGGCCACGTCAGTGCAGTGGAGCGCCGGGACATGGATGGTGGAGTACGGCCGAGGATTCATTCCCTCCACGCTGGGCTTCTCTCTGGCCGACACCGTCTTCAGCACCCAGGACTTTCTAACACTGTTTTATACTGTACGTGTTTATGTGAAGAGTATGATCCTGGAGGCCAGCACTTTCCTCACTGACTCCGGCGTCCTCTGAAACACACACGTCCCTGTGTTATTCTGATAACTGCCCACAACATCAGCTGGTCGTTTGCTAATGGAGAACCGACGACTTGTTGAACTGGATGTATGGAAAGCACTTAATGTACTTACTTTTAGTTTTATTTTCCGTACTGTACAAAGAGTTGATCAAATGTCTTTTCTAAAGGTGAGACACATTTTTGGTCAACACACTGTTTGGGTTTGAACGTGGCAAGATGTTTTAGCAGCTCGATACTGTCCAGAAACGGTTATTACGAGGTATGGATAAAACAATCAAAAGGTAGCTTTCTGTATTTCCAGATCACACTCTTTGCACCTTTAATATACTGTGAATATTAATTGTTGCTTTATTTTTCATAAGATACATTGTTCAAAACTGATCTGTCTCCTGTTCAGCCTGCAGTCGCTCCAGAATAAACCTATTAATTAGTATTGTTGAATACGTCTTTTATTTAGAATCAAGTTATTTAGAAATTATTTTGTGTTTGTTTGATTTCTATTATGCATCTGTCAAATAAGGAATGTGACAAAAAAAAACGGAATTATTTTCCATAACGTACAAAGAGTTTATTTTTATTTATTTTTATTGACATTTACAAACAATTGACAGTTTTTGTTTGTTTGTTATTTTTATTATTATTATTTTTAATTTTTTTACATACTGAATTTGCTGCTCAATAAGCATTTTGTTATTATCATCCGTGTTAAAATGTTTTTGCTACTTAATATGTTTGTGGAAACAATACAATTCAAAAGTTTGGGGTGAGTAATGTAATGTTATATACCATGGTTTCCACAAAAATGTTATGTCAGTAGAGTTGCCTTTTGCTGCTGCTCACTGAAGGCTCTGACCAAGTGTTTTTTTTTTGTTTGTTTTTTTATTAGAATCATTATTAATAATTCAGCATCAATAATCATTCATAATAACTGAGTGCCAAATGATTTCTGAAGGATCATGTGACAGAAGACTGGAGCAATGATGCTGAAAATTCAGCTTTTATCACAGAAATAAATTACATTTTACAATATATTCAAATAGAAAACCGTTATTAAAAGTTGTAAAAAAATAATAATAATTAAATAAATAAAAATACAAATTGTACTGGATATTTTATTAAATATATGCAGCCTTGGTGAGCATTATTCCAAATGTTTTGACCGGTAGTGTATGTAATTTTGCATATTATAATCATATAATGCATATGTAGTTTTTCCTGCTGCTGATCAGCGGCAGTATCAACACACAGCGCTCGCGCTCATGGCTCATTCATTTCAGCTCGCTGCTCTGTGTTTGTGTTTGTGTGTGTGTTCATATTAGCATGGATCTCTCTTATCAAGCCATAAGGACTGCTAATCAGGCCAGAGAGGCGGTGAGTGCTGAAGTCAAGCTGTTGTTGTAGCTGTCGTGTTAAACTTTGTTCTCGATGATATCACGCGATAAACTGCAATGTGTTGGAGCAAATATTCGTGTAACTGCGTGTATAAAGGAAAGAGTGTATAAACATATATATAAATATTGTGAGATAAATGGAGTACGAATGAAGTCGAGTGCCTTTTTTATCGTTTTTAAATAGCCTTTCGGATATTTTTGTTATTATTATTATTTTTTTTTTGACAATTAGCAAGATGGCTAGTTAGTTACTAAATGCGCGTGTTTACAGTCATTGAGTGCTGTGTTGCCATAGCAACTATATGCATTTCCCTTAATGTAAGATTTGGCGCCATCTAACGGATAGTCAGTGGAGATTATTACAAATATTCATCAATTCTAATATCTGTTACAGCTCAAATGTATCAGTTTGAGTAACAATTAACATTCACACACATTCATTATTTTTTTTTTTTTGACAATTAGCAAGATGGCTAGTTAGTTACTAAATGCGCGTGTTTACAGTCATTAAGTGCTGTGTTGCCATAGCAACTATATGCATTTCCCTTAATGTAAGATTTGGCGCCATCTAACGGATAGTCAGTGGAGATTATTACAAATATTCATCAATTCTAATATCTGTTACAGCTCAAATGTATCAGTTTGAGTAACAATTAACATTCACACACATTCCCCGCAAAATAGGCTACTAGTACTACAGTTGCTGCAAGTAACCAAATTAAAGTCGCGACATTTAGTTTGTTGATGCAATTTCAAATAAACGTTTTATGAATTTCTTTTCGTAGGAGGAACTAAGAACAGAAACGCGCAGGAGAAATTTGCTGGTTTTGATTTATCATCATTTAATGGAAGAGGGGTGAGATCTTAAACACATTTCTTAAAATGGCATGAACATTAAATGGCTCTAAATTAAAGAAAAGACACAAGTGTAAATACATTCAAGTCATTTCTTTTTCGACTGCACAGGTATATGGATTCAGCTAAAGCCTTAGAGAAAGAAAGCAGTTTTGCTTTATGCCGTTTTGAGGTGTGTGATAATGTTGACTTGGAGACCGTTCTTATGGAATATGAGAGTTATTATTTAATAAAGTTTCAGAAATATCCCAAACTGACAAAGAAACTGACAGAACAAGGTGAGATTTTACTTCTAACTTCTGTGAAACTTCATAAATATTGTTGTATTGTCTTTTTTTATTTTATATATATATATATATATATATATATATATATATACTGTATATATATATAGTATGTTTTTTCATGTACATTAAAACATGAATTGTTAAGCAATATATAGTGTAATAATACTTGTTAAAACTGTTACTAAAGGTTATTATTTAGTCATATTTATTTTTATTTAGTCATTTTTCTTTATAGGAGAGAGTCGGCTTGTAAAGAGCTGTGGTAAAAGAAGGTATGTATAGTACTTTTACCACAAGAGCATTCAAAGACTCAGTATAATGTTGTTTTTATTCACCATGTGTGTATTCATTTGTGAAAGGACGTCATCATCCAGTCACACACTCCCAAAAATCAGCTCCATCCAGCGACCTCCATCCAGAAACACTGTTAAAAAGACTGAATCTAAACTAACAGGAAGAGACATCAGCAAATCCAGTGTAAGTCTACAAACCTCTTTTTTTTTTTTGGTTTGAACAAACTATTATAAACTCTGTACACAAGAAAGAGTCACTTTGCATGATCTGTCCAGGAAGGAGAGCAGCTGACGCCTGCGGATGCATCAGGGTTCGGTCTGAATGTGTCTCCTCTCATCAGGAATGGGGCAGAAGAGGGAACACACATGAGAAAGGTTTTTTAAGGATTGTTTATTTGCCTCAAAAAAAGAATATCTTGTCATCATGTACTGTACTCACCTTCATGCAGTTTAAAACCCATATGACTTTCTTTCTTTCTTTCTTCATCAGGTTGATTACAGGAGTCTGATTCCTGATGCAGTTAAAGGTGCCGCTAACGACTCAGTCCTGCCCTGCACAGATTTCTCAGTAGGTCAACTGTGTTTCATTCAGGTTCAAAGCAACTGAAGCTCTGTTGGAAGCAGCTGTGATAGAAAATAATTCTGAAACATCCCTCATGCTTGTGTCTGACAGGAGCGTTTGCTGAAACCCGTGAGTGCCTTCATTGGGATGAACAGTGACATGAGGGAACTTGCAGCGGTTATTAGCAGAGTAAGTCAATGTTTATGAAATTACTTCCCTTGTGTGGCAGTTTGGTGCTATATTAGGGAAATATTATGAAGTCTGTCATTTTACCATTCAAGTAATATTAAAAAACACAAGCCAATGAAGCTTTTTCAGGACTACTATGATTTTTTTTTGTTTTTTTAAATGTGATATTAAAAACAGTTAAGCACATTCCCCCACAATCCTCACAACCATGAAGCTTTTTGTTTGTTTGTTTGTTTTGATCATTTTCATTTTTCTCAATGATGATTCTTATTAGTTTAATTACAGTAATACAAAATCAATCTGTATTGACAAAATCATGTTTTAAAATTACTGTGTACATTGAAATTACTGTCCACACACTGAATAAAGATTCACTACTAAAATTTTATTAGAAAATAGATCTATCTATCTATAATATAAATAAACAAAATAATTATATATTTAATAATATATATTGTATTGACAAAATCATATTTTAAAATTACTGTATGAATCAGTAATCAAAATCAAAATAATAATAATATATAAAATAAATATAAATAAAATAATTATATATATATTATAATATATATATATGTGTGTGTAAATGACAATTAGATACATTTCTGATAATAAAAAATACTGTGCCATTCCAACACTGATTCAACACTAGAGAGCAGCATACAGTCTGTTTTATAATATAGTGTTACACAACCCAATATCACTCTGTGTGTGTGTGTGTGTGTGTGTGCGTGCGTGCGTGTGCGTGTGTGCAGATACATACACAAGCTGTAACATGTATTATTGAAGCACTCCATTTCATCTTTCTCTCCTGTCTCTTCATAAAGGATATCTATTTACACAACCCCAACGTGCGCTGGGACGACATTATAGGCCTGGAGGCTGCCAAGCGATTAGTCAAAGAAGCTGTCGTCTACCCTATTAAGGTGCTTGGCCGCTAAACACTTTGGTATTTCTCAAGCTGCCGCCTGCCTTCGATTCTGAATACATCTCCACTAACGGCTAGAGGAAAGCTGGGCTCAGGGTTATTTCTTAAGATGACATGAAATCTATACCGCAGCTTATTTTTGCTTGTAGCACATGAAGTAAAAATTGAATGAAGAATATGATTACTTCACATTATGCTGAAGGACATTTTGAGGCTCGGTTTTGTCAATACTTGGACCTTATCATGTATTAGATAAAGATAAAGATAAAGTGGTGTCTGCAGTTAATTGGTCGATGAAAATATTAGTTTTTGTTATTCACCTTAGCGTGAAGTCAACAAACAATATTGATTATTCGTGAAATTTCTTTAGCAACCACTTATAACACCTCAGTAGCCAAATAACAGCCATTCAGAGCACCACAGCAACCACCCAAAACACCTTATCAGTGCCTTAAACATTAGAGCACAGCAGCAACAGCCTAGCAACACTCTTACAGGCACTCAGAAAACCTTAGCAGCCACCTAGCAATTAGTTTTTGTTATTCACCTTAGCGTGAAGTCAACAAACAATATTGATTATTCGTGAAATTTCTCTAGCAACCACTTTATAACACCTCAGTAGCCAAATAACATCCATTCAGAGCACCACAGCAACCACCCAAAACACCTTATCAGTGCCTTAAATATTAGAGCACAGCAGCAACAGCCTAGCAACACTCTTACAGGCACTCAGAAAACCTTAGCAGCCACCTAGCAACACCCTAGTAACCAGCCAGAACATTGTAGAAACTAACTAGCAGCTATCCAGAACACCCTATCAATGCTCTAACAACCACTCAGATTACGACATCCTTAGAAACTTCCTTGTAATGTCGCAGTAACCATCCAGAACAGCCTAGCACATGTTTAGCAACCACCTAGCAATGGACTAACAGGCATGCACAACTCCACTGCAACCAGGAAGAAACCTCCCAGAACACCATAGGAGCTTACTAGCAACCACATAGAGCACCACAGCAACAGCCAGCCTAGCAACGGACTTACAGCAACTTAGAAATTATTAAACCACCTAGCAATGACGTAGTAACTACCCAGCAACATGCCTAACAACCTAACAATCCTAGCAACCATGACAAAGCCCCATAGCAACATGCCTAACGACCTAACAATCCTAGCAACCATGACAAAGCCCCATAGCAACTTGCCTAACAATCTAACAATCCTAGAAACCGTGACAAAGCCCATAGCAACATGCCTAACAACCCTAGCAACCGTCACAAAGCCCCACAGCAACATGCCTAACAACCTAACAATCCTAGCAACAATGACAAAGCCCTATAGCAACTTGCCTAACAACCTAACAATCCTAGCAACAATGACAAATCCCTATAGCAACATGCCTAACAACCTATCAATCCTAGTAACCATGACAAAGCCCTATAGCAACATGCCTAACCTAAAAATCCTAGCAACCGTGACAAAGCCCCACAGCAAGAAGCCTAACAACCTAACAATCCTAGCAACCACAACAAAGCCCCACAGCATCATTCCTTACAACCTAACAACCACCTAGGAAAAAAACAGCAACTTGGAGCATCTTAAAATCACCTAGCAATGCCTTAGTAACCACCCAGAACACCCTAGTAACTGCTACGTAGAACACAATATGTCTAACAACACCAGCCACTCAGAAAACTGTAGCAACACTCTAGTAACCACCCATAACATTATAGCAACCAACCAGCAACTATCCAGAGCAGCATTTAAATGCTAACAACTACCTAGATTACAACATCCTTAGAAACTTCTACTAGTATATGCTTAGCAACCACCTAGAAACCCCTAGCAACTGCCTAGCAGCCATATAGCAATGCACAAACAGCCGCCCAGAACTCCACTGCAACCAGCTGGAAACAACCCAGAACACCCTATAAATGCTGCAACAACCACCCACAACACCACTGTAGCTCTCTAGCGACCACAAAGAGCACCATGGCAACAGCCAGCCTAGCAACACACCTAGAAAACATATTAGAAAACACCTAGCACCTAGCAACTGCTTACCAAATACCAAGAACACTTTAGTAATATGCCAAACAACAACAACCTAGTAACCATGGCAAAGCACCATAGCAACCACTCAAAAGACCCAAGTGACCACCCATAACACACTAGTAATCAATGAATAACCACTCAAAACAATGCTGTAACAACCAGAGCACCACAGCAACAACCTAGCAACACACTGATAGCCATCCAAAACACCCTAGCACATGCCTAGCAACCACCTAGCAATGCACCCAGAATTCAATATCAGCTTTCTAAAAAACACATAGAGAACATAGAGCAACAACCTAGCAGCACACTTGCAGCCATTTAAAACACCTTAGAAACTGCCTACTAATGCCCTAGAACCCATTCAGAACACCCAAGCAACACACATCCTAGTAACTGTGACAAAGCACCATAGCAACCACCTAGATGTGTACGGCCACTTAGAAAACTGTAGCAGCTGCTTAGCAACACCCTAGTGGCCACCACCAAAAACATTATAGCAACCAACTGTCAATTGGTTGCCAGAACACCCAATCAAGTATCTATCAGCCACCTAAAAGTGTCTTAGCAACCACCACAAAAAAAATAAAATAAATAAAATTAAAAAAAAACCTAACAACATACTTACGATCACATTAAGGACATTTTAGAAATGACAAATAGTAATCACCCAGAACAACTGTCTAGTTCTGGAACCATCTACTTCTAACCACTATCCACCTACCCTCTTTTTTTCAGTATCCGCAGCTGTTCACTGGAATCCTGTCACCATGGAAGGGTTTACTCCTATATGGACCACCAGGTCTGACCTTTCTGTTTTCTGTTTGTGTAAATCCATTTGTGAAAATATGAATATTCAATCCCTGAATATATAACTAATTTTACGTGTAATATGATCTTAATGTGACGACTGCCTCTCAAAAATCAGGCACAGGAAAGACGATGCTGGCCAAAGCTGTAGCCACGGAGTGCAACACAACATTCTTCAACATCTCTGCATCCAGTATTGTCAGCAAATGGAGGGGAGACTCTGAGAAGCTGGTTCGGGTCCGAAGAGACATTATTTTCTCAGATTTGTGTTATTTTATTGTTTTATGAGATGTTTGGGGGAAAGGTTGTGCTCAGCGAAACACTGATTTTCCTCATGTTATGATCCTCTGCAGGTTTTGTTTGAGCTGGCAAGATATCACGCTCCATCCACCATTTTCTTGGATGAGCTGGAATCAGTGATGAGCCAGCGAGGTGTTGGTCAAGGGTGAGCATGAGCCAGTAACTTTCACTGACAGTAAGATTACAAAACAACCTAAAATCTCACTCCTAGTACACAATCCATAACTAGTAACTTACACAATTTCTGTTTTGCTCTTTACATCTCTTTAAGAGGTGATCACGAGGGCAGTAGAAGGATGAAGACGGAGTTACTAGTTCAGATGGATGGACTGGCACGATCAAACGATCTTGTGTTTGTGCTTGCTGCCTCAAACTTACCTTGGTGAGGAGTGATTGTGAGGAAACAATATAATTTTTTCTTTTGTTATGGTTTTCTTTATAATCTTTCTAATCTGTCTTCAGGGAGTTGGACCATGCCATGCTGAGAAGACTGGAGAAGCGGATACTGGTGGGTCTCCCATCTGCCCCTGCCAGACAAGCCATGATCAGTCATTGGCTGCCTCCGGTTAGTAACACAGGTGGGGTGGAGCTGCGGACAGAGCTGGACTATGACTCACTGGCACAGGTGAGAGAAACCATGTGTGTAGATAGATAGATGGATGGATGGATAGATGTATGGATGGATGGATGGACGGACGGACGCATGGACGGACAGACGAACGGATGGATGGATGGATGGATGGATGGATAGATAGATAGATAGAGACAGGCAGACAGATAGATAGATAGATAGATAGATAGATATAGACAGGCAGGCAGAAAGATATAAAGATAGATAGACAGACAGACAGATAGATAGATAGATAGATAGATAGGCAGAAAGACACACAGACAGACAGACAGACAGACAGATAGATAGATAGATAGATAGATAGATAGATAGATAGATAGGCAGGCAGAAAGACAGACAGACAGATAGATTGACAGACAGATAGATAGATAGATAGGCAGGCAGAAAGACAGACAGACAGATAGATAGATAGATAAGATAGATAGATACTATTGAGACAATTGTTCTGATATGTTCACGTCCTGATATTTCAGAAGACAGGAGGTTACTCTGGGTCAGATATCAGGTTAGTGTGTAAGGAGGCCGCTATGAGACCTGTGCGAAAAATCTTTGATGCCCTTGAAAATCACATTGAAGGTAAGAAATATGCCACGTCCCGCTCTGAACGACATTAAACTGCTGTTTCATCACGAAATCCTGTTTTGCCCACAATTCACAGTCTCCATTACACCATGCATCTTCACAGGTCAGTCCAACATGCCGGTTATTGAACTAGAAACTGTGACCACAGCAGATTTCCTGGAGGTGATTGCTCACACCAAACCGTCAGCCAGATGTCTGATGGATAGATACTCGGCCTGGGAGAAAGAGTATGAGTCTGTCTGACACATGATCTCAGCATAATACATGGACTGTTGTTACAGCAACCAACAAATGTTTTTACTGCACTACTACCTACACTTTTTATAACGACATGCTGTGTTTCTCACTAGAAAAAACATTTTAAAGGAAATATTAAAAACAATTTTAAACTACAGTTTGTTTTCACAGTTCATGTTTTGATTTTGTTTTATTTATTTTAAGTACATCAGAATAAATGCATAGGAAGTGCAGCGTCGTTATAAGGGACAGTTAAACAATTATCAAACTACACAGTACCAATATTACTTTTTTTTTTGTCAGTTTTCCAGTCATTTAGATCCTAAGAGATTTTCAAGTATATGATTGACAGCCTCTGGAAAGCTGTCACACGTCAGGTGAGGTGGCGGGTTAATTTTACCCTCATCACCAGGTCTGTATTTACCTGCAAAAAATTAAAAGAAGATTACTATTATGCAAAAAAAAAAAAAAAAAACTATATTATGAAAACACAATTGCATATTAAGAATGAGGCCTACCAGTTTTCACTAAAATTCCCAGCATTCCTGCATTCTGTGCCCCACCAACATCATCTCTGGCATCCTGTGCAACAACAGTTTGGTTGGTGACAGATTAAATTGTAAGGCAAACTAATTCAGCCATACATTCCATCTTGAATTTCATTAAGGAATTACCTTTTTGTATTCAATATTTCAACAAATATATATATATTTTTAATAGTGCAATATAGTTTTAAAGTATAATCTATCTATCTGACAGACTCACCCAAATATTACAGTCCTATGCATATTCATACTCACGTCTCCTATCATCACAACCTCCTCCGGTGAGCAGTTCAGGTCTCGTAAGGCCTCCAGGAAGAAGGCTTTCTCTGGTTTACCCACCACTGTGGCCTGGGTGTCAGTCGCGTACTCGAGACCCGTCACAAACGGACCCGGTCCCAAAGCCAACCCGTCCTTCCTTTTATAGTATCGTGCTTTATGGATGGCAATGAGGGGGGCACCATCTAAAATGAGTCTGATTAAATGAGTCTGATAATATTAGAAGCAATATTTCAACCACTCAGTGGGAGAATTCAAATATTTAGATGTTGTTTTGATGGTCTATAAATATCTTCCAATATTGTTTACCGGAAGGCTTTATTGAGTGTCTGGTAGTTGAAGTGGTCAGGTGCTAATCCAATCACAACAGCATTAGGATCTGAAGTTTCCAAACCTGCAGCATAGGAAAGTATGAGATCAACACAAACCATTATATGACAAACATGGAAACTTTTTTTTTTAACCCCAAGATCTTCATTTTTTTTCTAAATGAAAAACATGGAAATCAAAGTTGTTGTTGTTGTTTTTTAATTTTCTAAAACAGATTTTTGCCTGTTTTATTTTTTTATTTTTATTTATTTATTTATTTTAATGTCAGTGCTTTACTCATTACTTTGATGCTAGGGTGTATCATGGCTGCTCAAGTGTTGTTAACTGGCAGTGTTGGGAAGGTTACTTTGAAAATGTAATAGGTTACAGATTGCAAGTTACTCTATTTAAAATGTAATAAGTAGTGTAACTTTTCAATTACTTTAATAAAGTAATGTAACTACATAGGAAAGTATGAGATCAACACAAACCATTATATGACAAACATGGAAACATTTTTTTTTAACCCCAAGATCTTCATTTTTTTTCTAAATGAAAAACATGGAAATCAAAGTTGTTGTTGTTGTTGTTTTTTAATTTTCTAAAACAGATTTTTGCCTGTTTTATTTTTTTATTTTTATTTATTTATTTATTTTAATGTCAGTGCTTTACTCATTACTTTGATGCTAGGGTGTATCATGGCTGCTCAAGTGTTGTTAACTGGCAGTGTTGGGAAGGTTACTTTGGAAATGTAATAGGTTACAGATTGCAAGTTACTCTATTTAAAACGTAATAAGTAGTGTAACTTTTCAACTACTTTAATAAAGTAATGTAACTGATTACATTTGATTAGTTTTTGATTACTTTTCTTAATTTCTAATGTTTTCAACTGTTAATCAAACATGTAAACCAGGCAGTGTTAACCTTACAGTAGTACTCAACACTGATTACTGTCAGACTTTCAAAATCAATTAAGTGATAATATTTTTAATTTTAAAGGGGACGTCGGGTGCAAAATTCACTTTTACATGGTGTTAGCATATGAATGTCTTAGCAGTGTGTGAACATAACCACCCTACAATGATAAAAATCCATTCACTTCTTTTTTTAAACCCGAAAAACCTAAACAGTCTCAGTTATCAAGCTGTTTTGATTTTCAGAGCAGTATGACGTCATACCGCTCAGGCCCCACCCACGACCACTGACGAACTGTCCCATATTTGCAGCCCTCAGCCAGTTATACGCTGTCATTTTCTCCGCGCTCGAGCAGCTGTAGCCACAACAATGTCTCGTAAGCAATGCATGTGTTTTGCGCCACCGAATACACCTAAATTCGTTTGTCTGCGCAAATCATTTTACTCCAGACTGCTTTCTGAACGAGGGACAGGTTTTGCTAAAAAGTTAAAACTCAAGGATGGATCAGTACCCACTGTTCGTGATCCAGCTGCACCTCCAGAAGAATTAAATCTCACACTTTATGTCTTTTATGATTACTTGCAAATCGCCTTTGCTCTTCACGGAAGCGAGGGGCGGGGTGAGCAGCAGCTCATTATCATTTAAAGAGACAAGCACCGAAACGGGTCGCTGTGGACAGAGCTGTTTTTGACAAGGTAAAAAGGGTGTTGTTTTTACGACCACTGAGGAATTTTAACCAAAGTATGTTACAGACATTTCATGAAGATCCTAAAGAATCAAACCAACTTGTGGAAAATGGGTGTCCAATGTCCCCCACAGCCTCCACAAAATCCGACTTACTTTGAGATCAGTCTGAGGTTAATTACAGATTTAAAATCATAACAAGTAGTTTAATAGCTATGATGCTGTTTTTGAAATTAAATCTTTGCATAGCTATGACAGGAAACACTGGCATCTACTAATGCTTTGGAAAAGAACAGTTAATCTTAAAAAATACAAAAAAAGTCTATGCATAAACCCAAAAAGGAAATAAAAGATTTATCGAAAAAGCATGTGCCTTATTCTGTGTCCTAAACTCCTGAAACATTTGTCCCTCATATTTTAGAGCAGTCAGTGCATTTTGGGAAAGAAATCAATTAAATCTCTGTGTGTGTGTGTGTATAATGACAAGGGTATGACATAGGTATTACAAGGAGAAGGTGACTTTTCAGGACATTACCCCATGTCCCCACTTTTCAAAACGCATATAACTCACACAGAATGGAGTGTATTGAAAATCTGAAATAGCACAAAGTTTCCTGTAAGGGGTAGGTTTAGGGGTAGGGTTGGTGTAGGGCAATAGAATATACGGTCTGTACAGTAGAAAAACCATTACGCCTATGGGATGTCCCCACTTTTCACAAAAACAAACCTGTGTGTGTGTGTGTGTGTGTGTGTGAAAAAAATTCAGATGTAACCCCTTTGTAATTGTTAACATTTTTATAAGTAGCTGTAATTTAAGTACACATTTGTTCTCAGTAACTGTAACTGATTACATAAATGAACAAGACGCTGACCTGTGAAGTCCTCTAGAGCGCTATCCTCCACCAGCAGTAGGGGGCGCACTGCTCTCTGCTCCAGTAGATTACGGGCCGCTGTGAGCGATGTGAAGATCTCCTGCTCCTGGAGGTCAAAGTTTAACCGATGCAGTCGCTCAAACAGGGTCCTCTTACATTCCTTCGTGGTGTTGGTCACAAATTTTACAGTGACTGGAGCCTGTCTTAATCTGGACAAGTACACGTCTAATTAGTTTCTATGCAATACCAAACATGAAATATCTCAACTACATTACAAATGGCACTGAAATAGTTATAATAAAATGAAATAGTCATTTGCATATTTGGTATGCTGATTTCAGGTTGGCAGACATGTATTTAAGCAGTGTGTTTGAAATAATACCCATTTGTTGATACAGCATACTGTCGATTACTTGATTTTAATTGATTTATTTGTTTTTAATCCATTTTCATGTTGATGATCTGATAGCGATTTATATAAGCCTATAACTTAAATTCAAAAATCAATCTTTTAGTCTATGCTGTTTATTAGTTGATACATGAGCAAAACTTCAAGAAACATTTGAAGTTGGCTTCCCATCCGTTAATCGCAATAAACGTTGTGCTCTGTTTATTTTGATATGAATCTATCAATTTGATATGAAAAATATCAATTTTGTAAAGAAATTCAAACAATACAGATCGCTGTAAAGGTGCCAGTCTAAACGGCAGCGCGGACCGCGGTGAACCGATCATCTCTCCCTCTTTACTACTAGTTACAGCACGAAATAAACATGAATGAACATCAGAAGGTGTTAAAAGAAACCGTACAACTTGATGAATTGAATCATGTCCCATGTAATCGCTCAGTCAGTGTTTCAACAATGGAAAACATTAAAAAGCTTGTAAACAATGTTACGTAACGTAACATTTTCCTCAGTAGATCGTTAGTTGGCTAGAAAATAATAAATATAGAAAGAAGCACTAAATATAGTATGCACTAATTTTAAACTATTCTAGCAACTGACTAGGGTTCCATGTACAATTTGCAGCATTGTGACATGAGTTGAGTTCGAATCGAGAATCTGTGAAATCTGTCCTATTTTTACCTCTAAAATATTTAATCAGACAGAAATTTCTCAGAAATTTCTCTTTGTGAACGCATCTATTAATATATCTGCGCCCCAGGAACTGCAGCATCCTCGATATGAAGAGTCCCACTCAGATCAATGAGAACCGCTTTCAGAGCGCGACGAGACACCATCACTGAAACTCACACACATACAGAATAATATGAAATACACTTCACTCAGCTTTCTTATTATTTATTAATTAGGCTAGTTCATTAGATAGATAGATAGATAGATGATAAAATAGAAAATTAATATTAATATTTGGCTTTGCCTGGGCTGAATGGCAAAAAAAGAGCAGATAAACATGACTGACGATTTAGGACTTTGGGGATCATATTGTCAGTTCCGAGTGTGCAATTAATGCTCTTATTCACATGAACTTTGGATTAAACACAATGAATGTCTTCCAAAACAACATTTCATCTCATCATCTGTGTTTGACATCATTTTAAGGATTTGGAAACCCTACATTTATTTAAAACGAGCTGCCAAACAACAAGAGCTTTAGAAAAGGTAAAGCAGATTGCTTTAAATCATTCAATAATACAACGAACTAAAAGATCGTGTAA